TAGTTTCAATCTTTAGTTTGTGATTGCCTGTCCTAAATTTCACTAGTTGTTTTCTTTCACATAGCTGGCTTGTTAGGCCTAACCTGCGAGCAATACTCGCAAATACAGTTTTACGCAAGAACTATACCCGAGTGGAACTCACTTCCTGCTGAAGTGATAGACCAACCGAGTGTGGAGGCGTTTAGGACCAGTGCCATCTCTTTCTTCATTCCAATAGTTATTTAGTTACATTTACGTATTTATTTATTTTCTTTCATATCTGCGGTGATGGATTGATCCCTTTACAAATTACAACTGTAGTTGGAGATGTAATTGTCAACAAAAGTTTTGCCGCTTAATACAGTTTCACATAAATCACTAAAAAACTTTGGTCACAAGTCGCTATTGTTAACTTTTAATTGTAACACAATGCAATATTTACAAAACTACGTGGTACACATCTAATCTGCAATAATGCAATATTTACAAAACATCTTTGCATGTAATATTCATATGATTAAAACATGTTTATTTCATATAACCAAGCACAATGTATTGCCGAAGAATATTTCCCGAGGTCGTTCTGGTATGGACCGAAACCCCGGTCCGTAGATGAAATACCGAGGGCGATATTCTCCTAGTATTGCCCCGAGTTACNAAATGGGGTTGATCTCTCAAGAAACGCCCTGAGCACCCTCACCAAAATTTTCAGGAATTGCCTCTCCCATCCGGGCAGAAAGATCACCCTGGATATAAACCGCTAGCGTTATCCCCCTTCCTTTTTTTTTTCGGGGGGATGGGAACGGCTACTCGTACGCTAATAAAGCGTTCACCAATAAAATCACAAATGTGTGTCTTGTGTTTCGTCTATCGCCGAGGGCATTATTTCGTTATTTTTCAATCTCGAGTCACGTTTTCTCAAGCGCAACTTGCGACCGATCATACTGGAAAAAGCGCTGTACATCCTGCTGTTCATGCAAATGTATAACCATGGGTTAATAGCGCTGTTGTTGTAGCCGAACCAGTAGCAGGCCACCTGGACAATTGGTAAATCCTTGGCGCCTTCCGTTACCGCCAAATAGAGCTGAAACACTTGCCCGGGAAGCCAACAGAGAGCAAACACACTGAAAACAATGATGAGCATTCGAAGCACTTTCCTCTTAGTCATTTGCTGTTGTTGACGATTTTGCTCGACGTCTCCTGGTACTTCATGGAACCACAACTTTCGAGCAGTTATGGTGTACAAGATGGAAATGATAATTACCGGGAATAAATAATTGATGATAAAAAAGTAAATGTAAAGTACACGAGTGGCTTTCGTTGCGCCTCCCAAAATAGAAAACTTGAAAACACACTGATTTTTCGAATTGAAGTCCGCCAGAACTGGAACGATGCACATAAAAGCCATTGATAAGATCCACACAAGTGGTGTAAGAATTTTCGGTCGTCGAAACCAAAGTAGGCGTCGGAATGGATACACAACTGCGTAAAACCGGTCGACCGCCATGAATGTCAGACAGATGATAGACGTACTTATCGTGAAAAACGCAATGAATAACACGGTTTTGCACGTGATTTCTCCAGTAAGACCAGCCATTGGCCACACACCGTGCGTGTAAAAATCGGAAATGGTGTAAGGAATCACAACCAAGGTGACCAGCAAATCCGCCACGGCCATGTTGACGAACATGAAGCTTGTCAGCGATCTTACATCAGGTCTCTTCCACACGATGTAGATCAAAAGAATGTTTCCCACCAAGGAAACAAGCATTGTTATCAAGTACATGATGGTAAATGCGATGTTTTCTGCGGATCCCATATTTCTGTTGAAAACAAGATTTTTTTTGCATTACCGAGTTGAACCAAGAGAAGGTGAATAGTAGGAGAGTTAATCTCCCACCCCCTCCCCC